ACTATCCCTATAAGAGGAGAAATATGTAATTGATGTAGTCTCCTATCGATGGACCGATTTCCTTTCTTCCTTCTTTAAGTGGTCTCATCTAGCACACCGTATTTCTATTCTCGTTTGGTTCTCGATCACTTCTGTAAGATCTCTTGAAGAATGTATGTGTTTTTCTCTTTCACCAACCAGATCATGAGTTAACAAGTATTTCGCCTAGAGTTTTCTCAGTTTTCTACGTTATATTGCAATTTTCACTACGTTTTATATCTTTCTACATCCATCTACCAGCTTCTGTACAGAAATTAGCTTGCTGTTGGTTTTTCATCTCGTTGAACCGGAAGGTAGCTGGGTGTTGAGATTGGGAATATTTACTTCCACAACGTTCAGAATATTTGTTAGTGCTTTATGAAGACTGATTCTATTACTTTTCAAAAACTATGTTTGCAAACGTGTCTGTAAGCAAATGGCTAAAACTGGACTGATGAAAATGATTTTTTAGGCTGAACATCGATTGAATTGGTGTTTGAACACTCCAGTGTTTTCACCTCTTCCTTTCTGGCCACACTTTAGCTAGTTAGCACTGAACGAGAAAACTGTCTCTGAAAGAGCTGCGAATCACAGCCTTGGAGAAGAGGCTTAAAATAATCAGTGAAATAACGTCTAGGTAATTCGTGGTTTTTTTTTACCTTAGCAAATTTAAATGCCTTAAAATAATTGATTTAGGAAAAGGAGATGTGAAATGCAAAAGAGTCATCGAAAATACAGAGATGTATCTGAAAGCCTTTAATTATATGGAAAACGCTGCTTTTAATTAAAGCCACGTCATTTGTTCAACGAAAAAAGAGAATAGAGCGCTTGAAAGTTCCATTGCGGCTAAATGAATAACGAAATGTCCCTACTCACTTATGGTGGTTCTCTTATCATAGTATTATACTTTTATAATATTTTTATTTAAAAAAGAGCGCGTGTGGCGCAGTGGTTGGAGGCGCCCTACGATGCACAGAGGGGATCGATCCCCGTGCCCGTGGATCATCAAGCCTTCCATCCCTCGGAGATCGGCAAATTGGTACCAAACTCTTCTGGGAGGATAGCAGCAGTGGCTCGATACATCGATAGGCCACCGCGAGTCGTTGTAAAGGCCAGATATGCATTCAGTCACCTCCAACAATGCTTACTGAAGTCGAATGCATGGCGCACCATAAGGGATTGATCAGCGCCGAGAGCTTTATCCTTTTTTTTATTTTTTACCATTTCGAATTTACTGACAGTGTTTTTTATTGATTTATCTCGGTGGTAATTCCCAATACCGACTTTCCGTTAACCTCGGCATCGATTGATAATTCGATGTGTTTGTTCAATAAGCAGACACGAGGTTGTTATTATAGGATTTATTAGGATACAATAACTGACGTTTCGGCGGTTTCGCCTTCTTCAGTACCGTTTATTTGTTGTAAGTATTTAAGTTACTTGTTGGATAGAAGCCGCACAGAGTGATACATGGGCGATAACTGTTGCTGATAATAGTTATGTATTACTCTGTGCGGCTGCTATCCAACAAGTAACTTAAATACTTACAAGAAATAAACGGCACTGAAGAAGGCGAAACCACCGAAATGTCAGCTATTGTATCCTATTAATTCTATAATAACAACCTCGTGTCTGCTTATTGAAGAAAAACATCGAATTATATCGGTAGTATTTATGGATAGGAGGCTGATGGCAAATGTATCACGGAATAATATCTCTAGAATATTCATCGCCTCCTAACCTCTTATCTGCTGTCCATTGGTAGTCGGCAGGAAAAAAGCGTCAAACTAGTGCAAAACAACGCCATCTCGCATTGTATGCTTAATATGTACATTGGTTTGAAAAATGGTCAACGTCATCGGCTTAACACATCTTTCTAGTGTTTTGTCCTAAATCACACTAGAGGAACCTCTATGATGTGAAGATATTCAAGAGAAACAGAGAGGAACAGAATTTATTATTCGAGAGAGGAAATGTATGGATGAAAAAAATGCAACCACGATAAGATGGGTTTTTTCTGGCATGTGTTTACCTAGATTAGATTCCTGATGTGGAACTCGTTTTCAAGTTGGGTGACTAGGCGTGGAGGATGGACCGTCGCCACTCAACGCCCAGGAACGTCACCCACTAAATGTGACGCGGCGGTGAATATGAAGGTGGGAAACATAACTTTTATCCAGGTTGCGCACGACCTAGTCTGGTGTAATGCTGACAACGTGGTTCTCTCAGTCTCTCGTTCTTTTTCATAACATGAATGAGATGTAAAATCTTGTGATTTGAACTTTATGGTGCAGGTGCTATGTTTATTCTGCGGCGAACATCTGGCTATTTACGAACATTAATGGTGTCGTGCAGACGTACGTAAGCTTACCAATATATTTTCTTAACAGAACGCACCCATGCATCCACACTTAATACAAATTTAAATATTCCTAAGAGACTTCGAAAAATCATCCTTATTCTCAATTCTTAAATGATTTCACTTTAATCACTTTAAGCTTTTTCCAGATAGTGTTTTTACAACTCACGGACTAACCGACTTAAATAAGTTGCGAAAACACCGACTCAATTTGGATGTGCTAGGAAGCTGTGGGAAATCCTGTGTTACCTACGGCTTCTATCCTTGGAACCTGGATGGATATGTGTATTAGTAACTATTCTATGTGTGCCATCACGAGAATTCATGTTCTAACTTCAAATTCGAACGATAATTGGAACCTTAATCCTTTAATTTATTGCCTTTTTCTTTTTAATGGCAGGGTATGTTGCGAAATATAACTCGTATGTAATGCTGAGATATTTGCAAAACTCCGGACCGCAGGTGTATGCGGTGGGGAACGAACGCGCGCTATTGTCCTTACCGGGGAGCAGCTCACTTCACCACCACACCATCCGGGTTCTTCGTTTTGCCTGTCTCTCAGCTAGTTCTATCGATAATTGGAACATACTAGAGTGTTGACTTGTTGAATGAATATGATCTTTGAAGGAATCCTCCCGCAGTGCAATTCTCTAGTACTTCAGTTGTCATTGATTGGTTACTTTGTGGTGAATGGAATGGAGCAGAATAAAAAACCTCGGCATCAATCCATTCTCCAAGAGAAGATCAGAGAATGTCATTAGTAATCATCAGAGGTAATCCAGTACGAGACAACTGTTCCGGTAACATGGGATATTCAATAGAACGCTCTGTGGGTCAAGAATGCTCGGCTGGTTCCCTCCACGTGAATTTCATCGGTTTCTGGTTTTACTTTTTTTATAGGTTTTTTCCCATTATTCATTAGCCGTCTGAGGTTTCCTTCTTCTCTTCTGAGGAACTGCTTGTTTGGCTCCATATTTATTCGGATATTCTTAGCTTAGCTTTCATCATGCTACATTCTAATGGTAAACATCGGATTTTCGTTGCTGTCTAGAAAGTCGAATATCTTCATCCAAGAGAACGCATCCTTTTCGTCGTGTTCCCTTTGTACTGAGACAATTTCAGGAACATTAAGGCATTAAATACAAAGAGGGACTAGAGATTCTTCTAAGTGCATAAATTTATAACAAAAAAATTGGGCATCGTGACAGAAGTGATGGTCATTTCGGATGTCCGAATTTTGCTCGACGAGCTCTTCAGAATTTTCAAGCTTCTTCAATTCCGTGCAATCGATGAACGGGAGAATTTTTTGTTCAGCAACCTGAGAAAGAAATAATAGCTGCGTTTGTACGAGGTCACGTTACCGTAACTTTTTATTTCTTCGCTCACTGTTTCCTAGATGTTCAGTGAAAAATTTAACCTATAAGTGGTAACAGTCAAAACGTTTGCTTACTAAAACATTTATTTTCGAGGTTTCGTTAGTTTGTTTTATTTTTATCGTCATACCCATTTTTACATCACCACTTCTTGTTGTTTTTCGTCCTTCTTTCTTTCTCTCTTCCTCACATCTTCCACTCAAAGTTTTTAAAACTGCACGCCTACTGTGACATGTCGTGAGTGAGAACAATGAAGGTGAGAGAAATGTGTTTTTCTGCTCTCATACCCTTACGCCCTTTGACACAACACCGCATGCATACCAGAGATGATTTAATGGCCCTTCGACGCCGTCGTCAAAGTCTCTGTGAGACTTGGGGTGTCGATCGGCGAGGAGATTCAGCCGTTCTGCAACTTCCGAAAGCCTCCAGAACATCTCTGGCTCACTCATTCATACCAGCCACACACTCTGAAGTTAACTTCGGTATACCGTGTGGCCTTTCTACTGAAGTCTTAACCAATCTAGTGCTTCCAATGCTTTTTGTGACAGTACCGTTTGTAATTTATTGTCCTGATTAGAATTAGTGGATTATTCTTGGCAAGCAAGCACTTTAAACTTCATTAATATTTTAACACAATGCTGGCGACCCGACTTCTGTGGGAATCATATTATAGCTAAATAATGGCCGCTTTCAGCTTTGAGCCACCGTTGCTCGGCTCAAAGTGGTCTTCATTAATTGGAAAAAAGCTATTAGAATCCAAAAATTTTCACCTCCTTGTTACCTCAGTGTAAATTTCAGATTTTCTACAACCCATAAAAATTTCTTCGCTTTTTTTTCTTAGATTCTGTTATTTCGAACACAAAAGCCACTGAACCAGCGGGTTTCCCCTAACAGAACACAGTGGTGCTCCTGTATGCATCGTTGTTGCTTGCGGCTAGCATGATTGCGCTGGAAATTGCTATTACTTTTATTTAATTCTATATGATGTGTCATCACATCTACTGTGCGGATTCTAGCACTTCTTCGATTCGATTCGTTTTCCTCGCATTCATCATCTACAAAGCTCTTCGAATTCTTGTGCTGCTTCGGCTAGTGCTCGCCTCCTAGCACAGTCACTTATATGCATTTTTCAGTGTTTTGAACCTATTCTCTAAATGATGTAAGGTAATATTAATGATATTTTCTTTATCTATGAATGTGTTTTAAATTGCGTGTTCCTGTTGGTGTTCTCGAGCAAATTTGATTTTCAGCATCAGGTCGACCAGGGCTGAGATCAGACTCTTCCACGATGTTCCCTTTGTACCAGAGTCTGAAGTGGATCTATCAGAAGTTCAAAGTCAGCGCCTGGTTGCCGTTCGTTGCATTAGTGTCTTACACTATACTCGGTGCTTTTCTGTTCAAGTTTTTTGAAATGGAAAACGACCAGCGAAACAGAGAGGGATATCGAAATCGAACATCTTATGCTATGAATCAGGTAGGTTATTAGTTTAAAGCCAGTATATCCAGTATATTACTTTTTTTCTTTTGCAACATTCCTTAGTATTTAAGCCTACCTTCTTGGTTTTCTTGTAATCATTCAATAAATGTTAGTCAGACGACTGTTAATAATCATCAACTTCAAGGAAACCTTCAGAATCTAAAAGCTTTTGCAAAGATCATCAACCAGAGTAGGTAAACCGAAAAAAGCACTTTCTTGAATATTTTAACGAGGTGGGACCGTGATTTTAATTTGATTTCACTGCTAATTTGCTGATTGTGCAAGATGCTCATTCCTTGGAGTCTCGAGAGCGGTGCTATAGCTCTTCCATGTAATCACAACTTGTCAGCTTATGACCATTTTGCTTCAATGATTTCTGGTACTTGTTTCTCTTCGTAGGATTTTCAATGGAAATCTCATTGTCAGCTTAGGAAAGCCTGTTAGATGAAGAATCCGTTGTGTATTGCTGTTCGACACACAGGAATACTCCCAGTCACAATTGGAGGGTAACTCGTTAGTTGTAGGGTGACAAAAGATATAGTCACCTTTTAAAACGAAAACTATTGAGCTGCAGAAAGTAAATCTAGTAAAGTCTAGATGAAATGGCTAAAAGTTTTCCATAAACCTTGAAGATTAGGCAGAAGGCGGAATAAATATTTGGTCCCAGTATCTCATGTCTATGAAGATGGTAGATTGATGGACTGCACTAAAGTCGTACGTCATCGACGCTCAGTAAACCCTTCAATATCAGGGATATGTCAGAGACACACCATAATTTTGAATCCTTTTTCGAGAAAGATAAGGACGACATGATGGAAGGAAGGGTAAAGAAAGAATTTTTCAGCATTTTTCGCAACTGGCATTTTCATTCCTTGGGAAAGGTCTTCGATTTCTACAGATTTACTTGCTTCGTACTTGGTGCATGAGTGTTCCCTACTTCTCGTTGATTTGCAGCAGTCGTTTACGTTCGTCTAAGGCAGGATTTAAAAATTGCAAATTACGCAGTTGGACGAGCGTTTTGAAAATATAAACTCATTTCTCTCCTTTCGAGACCTAGGCACTTTTCTTATCTATGATGAGGGTGCTGGCTATAGGAGAATAGATGCATTTGGCTATTTTACTTCAGTTATTGTGTTCCTAACACAACACTCATGTGACGGATTGGGCCATACATGACTCATGCGTCTAGGGGAAAGTTCTTGAAACGACTGACCCATTTCCAATTTTCTTTTAGCGGTTACTTCTTGACACCCTCTTCATTATAATAAAAATATTTGTGCATAATAAAGTGGTGTGAAGCTGTTAGCGTTCTTTGCTGTACAGTGGAGAAGGTTTTGGTAGACGTCATCTGTTTAACTAATGTTTTAATTTCAATTCAGTTTTTAAAACATTAAACTGGATTGCTATTCAATATTTTTTCCGTAGTATCTTTTCAAAGGGAACATGTGACGCAGTGGTCAGAGGAGTCCTGCAACACATATATGGGACCGATCTACGCTACTATGGCTCACCATGCCTTCCATCCCTCCGGGGTCGACAAATTGGTACCAGACTTGTTTGGGAGGATAGCAACACTGACTCGATACACCGGTAGGCCACCGCGAGTCATTGTAAAGGTCAGATATGCATTCAATCACCTCCAAACGATGCTTAATGAAGTTGAATGCAAGCGCATCCCTCAGGTATTGATCAGCGCCGAGAGCTTCATCCTTTTTTTACCTTTTCAAACTGCTGTGCTAACTTAAAAACCAACAAAAAAAATGATTTTTTTTATTACAACGTTCACTTCTTATTTTTACCTTGTCTGAAGCCGATTTTTTCTTTTCAAAATTTCAATTCTCTTCGAGCTTGTGTTCTCGCCGATGTTACATAATATCGTCAATGCAACGTTAACAAAACAACGGCAGATTTGGCTTTCGTCAGATCCTGAAATGATCTCGCTATAAGGTTTCAACCTTGAAAGCCTTATGTGAATAGGGTGACAGCTTTGAAACAGAGAATGTGTTCAAACGAAAACAGTCTGACATAAGAAATGGATAGCACTGCTGTTTAGTATAAAGCAAAGCGGTCTCTTTTGCCCTTCTATATAGTTTCTCGTTCATAAAGAAAAGATCGAAAACCGTCTACGTGTTTCTAACCTTCTCCGTTAATTACAAACTGATTCACCTTAATTAGATCTACCTGTATTTGTGAACGGAAATTAAATTTTCGTCGTACTTTCTTTCCGGGTAAAGAAACATAAAAAAATTTTGACACATCTAGCGGAGCGATTTCTCGTTTTGCCATCCATCCCACTTAAGGAAAAAATATTGAACGCTAAACCAATTGAATAATCGTAGTTGAGGAATGGGAAGAGGTTGACGAGTCTGTTATTCAGTATTTTGGCAGTGTTTAGGTCGTGGAGCGAATGCTTGAGGTACGGTGTGATGATTTAACGCTACGCTCCGCAGATAAAGCCTATCAGGTGTGTTTTGCCAAACACGTTGAATCGCTTCGGAATTTTTCCCAGCCTTTATTTGGAATCACGGAGCTGGTGTGGATTAGCGGAAATAACAACCTTTTAGTCAAGTTTATCCACACTGATTTACATGCGCTGCACTTTTAACTTGAGAGCAGCTCTTTTTCTTAGCACGACGCTATCATAGTAATCTGTTGGAAGCTATGAAGGTGCTTCAATGAACAACGTTCTTAATTTGTCTGCCTGATACTAATATCGTTTTTATTTGTCTCGTTCTCCACTCTTCTAATATCAACGAAGTAAGAAAGCGTGTGATTCTTTTTTAATCCTGATTCGTCCCTTTATTGAAATTGCGATCAGCTGGGAAGTGATAGAAGCAATTACTAGTAGAGACACTTTAGCTCAAAATAGAAATTCTTTCTTTTCCGAATTTTGTGTCCAGAGGGCAAGAGATCAGCGATTATTTTAACGTCAACGTTTTGTTAAGGTTTTTAAACCTTTGCTTTCTTATAAACGATTATCCCTTCCTTTTCTAGAGAATCAGTACTTAGCAGTCTATTGAATGTGAAAGAAAAGTCCTCTCCATAGCAAAGATTAATTTCTTTGGAGTTTCCTCCTTAGGTTTCGCGATTATTTTTTTTGCCCATGATTGCTACGGAAAGTGAAAAACAGAAAAAAAATTTAGATAAAGCATGCTAAGGATGCATTGCTTTGGTTCCTGGACCATCTTAATCTCACCGAGGTGTTAACAGAGCGAACCGACGACACACCGTGGACCTGGCTCGGTTCGATGTTCTACGCGGGCCAGCTGTACACCACCATCGGTAGGCGACTTTTTTCGGATCCACCTTGCTGCAAGCGATTTACAGATCGAACTCTGTGTCACTGAGGACGCTTGAGAGGCATTTCATATGAGTGCATTTCATCACATAGGAGGCCATTTTACTACAAGATGTAGAGCAGGATTTGTTTTCAATGAATGCTGAGGAGTACATGGGTAGGATCAATCATAAGAGCATACGTGATTTTACTAGCAAATAGAGATTCAAACATAAGACTTGGAGTGGGTGGTGGTTGCTACAAAGGTCGTCTCTCTTTCGTAGCCACTGACTTTTTGTAGGAATGCAGATGTTAGCATGCAAAAACACTTCAGAGCGCTTTTCAGCCAGCTGCGAAGTAACGGCATTACGTAGATATTAATAAACAATAGACAATGCAGAGAAAGCTCACAACTAGATTGAGGTTATTTTCTATTTCATTAAGAAAAAGTGTTCTGTACTGGGACAGTAGCGACACTGGCTTGGCTTATCAGTAGACCACAGCAACTCATCTATATCATATAGGCCATATATGCATTCTATCACCTCTAGCGATGTTTGATGAGGTCGACTACACGACCCACTTCTAGGAATTGATTAACCTTAAATCCCTTATCACTTTAGGTAGGTTATTTAATGCATAATTGTCATGTACGATGACTTGCGATTTTGCGGATGTGAACTCAGTCTGCTTGTCCGCCTACATAAGTCAGGTAACAATTTACCGATCCCGGCGGAAAGTAGGGTTTTGCTTGCATGGAAGGCAGAAATAAGCGAAATACGATGTAGATATTACAAGGTACCTCTAAGATTACGCTACATCGTCTCATTTCGTGTATTTAATCAGCTTTACATGTCGTATGCGGGAAGAAATATCGAATTCCTCATCTTGTTTGGTCCTAACACAGGATGAGCTTTTGCTGTATCTTTTACATGTACGCATAATGGTCCTATCCTTCTCACGGCTTCAGCATTATACTAGGAAAAACATTGGCTTTGAGTTAAACTTGTGCGCGTTACTCTCGAGGTAAAAAGTTGGCGATGGTTCAAATCTTTTGCCCTCATTCTTTCCACAGTTGGTAACATTCGGCAACGTATATTGTTTTCTGTTCGAGAGCATTCTCGCGGTTTTACAAAGTCTTTATGAAGAATTATTTTGCAACAGTTGCTTTCTCCCGTCTTCGTTGTCTATGAGAGAAATTCGAATGCACAAATTCAGCATTTAGGCTATGGATATCCGATAACGCAAACAGTAGCAGGCCGTGTCACATCGATTTTTTACATTCTTTTTGGTATCCCGATATTTCTTATAATTCTGAAGGTAAGAAAGTCTTTTTACTCCAGTGTGACTCGTCTCGTTTCTCACAAATAAACTTTTCCAGGACATCGGCCGATTGATGTCGCGTGGATGCCGGAAGCTCTACAAACGACTTGGTGATTCACAGCGAAAAATCGCGCAGTCGCCGTCGATCAAAACCGTTTCGCAGTACTTTCCGGTCAGCCCATAGACTAGAAGTAACATAGCATTATGAAAACAAATTTCATAGAGCAAAAAAATGTCTCCGTGGCAGACATGGGACGAAAAAAAGGAAAAACTGTTTAAAACAAATCAACTCTGTTTCAACTCTCATTCTTTCTACCGTGGTCCTTTCCGCTGATAAATGATATCGATTGCAACCATCGTGTAAAATTTCTGGCACTAATTTTTGTTGTCTACTTTAAGTTTATAATGTTTGATTTTGGGAAACCCGCTAGTCATTCACATTACTTCCTGGAATCATCAAGGAAGCTTATATTTCCTGTTAAGAGCTTTCACACTTCAACCGTTGGAAAAACTGTGAACAGCCTTCTACTGCGGCCTACAAGAGACATCGAATTCGGACCAGAAAAACAGATTGCTCACCAAAAAGTGGAGCTTATTGGTTTTTACTTTAAAAAACTTTTGTTGTTTTTTTTATTGCTTCAGTCTTTGATGCTTCTTTCACCATTGATTTGCAACCTTTCAACTCATTTTCTCATTTTTTTTACAGTGTTCCTATTCTATCAACTTCAGGCACAACTATCTGAATATACGCTCTAGTTCTTCTATTAAAAAAAAGCTTTCGGCGTTGATCAATTCCTGAGGGATGGCCATGCAATCAACTTCATTGAGCATCGTTCGGAGGTGACTGAATGCATATCTGGCCTTGTATAATTACTCATGGTGGCCTACCGATGTATCGAGCCAGTGCTGCTATCCTCCTACACAAGCTTGGTACCAATTTGCCGGCCTCGGAGGGATGGAAGGCTTGGTGGGCCATGGGTTCGGTGATCGATGCCACGTGTGTGTCGCAGTGGCGCCTCCAACCTCTTCTATTACTGCACCTCAATTTTTCGCCTAATTTATGGAGAAAACAAATTCTTCATTGATACCATGACAGTTTCAGAGCACGTGTAGCGCAATGGTCGGAGGCGCTCTGCAATACACCTACGATCTTCACGCCCCAGCCCACGAAGCCTTCCATCTCTACGGGATCGACAAATTGGTACCAGAGTTGTTTGGTAGGATAGCAGCAGCGGCCTGATACATCTGCAGGTCACCGCGGGTCATTGTGAAGGCCAGATATGCATTCAATTACTTTCAGCGATGCTTAATGAAGTCGATTGCATGGCGTGGCTGCAAGGGTTGATTAACGTCGAGAGCTTTATCCTTTTGTCCTTTTACTAAGACAGTTTGGTCCTAAATCGCTTTATTCCTGAAAGACATGTTTTGATCCGATGAAATAGTCATTGTTGCTTTTAAGGTTATCGCAGTCACTGAACTTCTTATTTCACAGCTGATATCTCATAGCAAGGAGGAATTAGTAACCTTAGGGCTTAGGGCGACGACAGAAGCAGGACTTAGTGCTTTCAGCTGCTTTATATTGAAACCGGCAACAAACTTGCGGATGTTCTTTTTGTACCATTATCACTGACCGCTTGGTTTGACTTCAACATCTTCCAAAGAATCATACCCTGAAAATTTCAGAAAGCGGATAGCATGTGTGAATCAGCATCCAACTAAATTACCGGAATCTCCAATCAGAAGAAATAGCTCCCGTTAATCTCAGAATGGTTTCGATTCGGAACGGCATCAGCTTTCACCTTTAATCATAAAATTACTTAATAAAAAAACGATAAAGCTCTCGGCGTTGATCAATCCTTGAGGGATGCGCCATGCAATCAACTTCATTGAGCAACGTTCGGAGGTGATTGAATGCATATCCAGGCCTTAAAATGACTCGAGGTGCCCTATTGATGTACCGAACCAGTTTTGCTATGCTCCTAGATAAGTCTGGTACCAATTCACCGAGTCCGGAGAGGTGGAAGGCTTGGTGCGCCTTGTTGGCGGAGATCGATTCCACGTGCGTGTTACAAGGCGCCTTCGACCACTGCGCCACACGCACCCCCATGAAATTACTTAGGAATTGGTATCTGGCTGACTCCTATGGATCTATCATAGTCGCTTAAATTATTGGACACCATAAAAGATTTCATCCAGCAGTTTTTCATCGGCTTGAGGTTTTAGTCGTAGTAATATTGCGGAGATCATATCATCTTCAAACAACGTACGCTCTACTCGAGAGCTTACCTTAACTCGTGGTCCTCTATTTCTTCGTCAAACATGACCGCCTTCGAAATCTACACAAATGTCTACAGCTAGTATAACCTTTGTCGAGACAATTAGTCCAGATCCTCATTATTCGCTGGGTACTAGCGTCCAATGAGAAAGCGTTGTTGATCTGTGCGCTGATGAGGAGCATGTACTCGTTGAGCAAGTCGGTTCGAGTTTTACCGATCGTTATTTCGATTCGATGTAGCTTTTCTCGCTGCTCCTGCTGTCCCATCTTTCCAAACATTTTTACAGAATGGTGGAATCTAGATTAATATTGAGTACAACAACTGCTTTAGGGTAAAGACTCCTTCGAAACTGATAGCACACCATGTGCAAATAATTCTCAAGGACTTGTGCCTCAACCTGACAGTAATCTATTTCTTGCCACATCGTCACGCAATAGAAAACAGTTTACAATCTAACATCGTAACGATCTTTTAAGTGGAAATAGCTTCAGATTTATGAGAGAAAAAAATTCAGTGGTTCTCAATCAGAGCAGAGCCTATGACATTGCATTGGCTTCGTTTTCATGTTTTCTCCACCTCTTTGTGCCAACCATTGAAAAGCAGGAAAATCGCGCCCATTTCATTGATAGAGAACTAGTCAGTCAAGGATATCTATCACACGATATTTTACTGAAGACGAAGCTGTATATTTCTTTCTATCATATTTTTTTTAACCAGGCGAATCCCCATGATTCGTGAAATTCATTTGATAAAGCTCTAAGCCAAATTACAAACGCAATCGCTTGAGAATAAGTAGGAAATGCCTTTGATTTTTGTGTTATGCTACTATTTTCGATGACCAGGTTTTCAGAATAAAGCGAATGCCCGCCGTCACGCCGAGAACGCATTTCCGATTCCGATCGCGTTGGCGATGCTCTTCTTATGGATTCTGTTTTCCGCCGGTTTATTCTGTCTCTGGGAGCGCGAATGGGGCTATTTGACCTCTGTCTACTTTTTTTTCGTATCAATCAGGTGAACATTTTTTTAGAGACGTTACCTACTTGTATTATCCATTCTTCATAACCTTTTTTCGCTCTATTCTCTCTACTGTGCACTTTTCAAACCAATTCTGACTCATACCCTTACTCTAGTGTTCTTGAATTCGCAGCTAACATTGACAATATTTCAAACCGACTTTCATTTAACCTCAGTATCACCAATCAACACGTATTTTTTTTTCGATAAGCTTACAAAAAGTTGATAAACAGTTCTATTTGGCCAACGTTTCGACGGCTTCGTCTTCATCAGAGCCGACGATCCGAGTCGATAGCCCACCATTCTTTTTCGTCTCGATGTAGCGTCTTCGCCTTCGTATCGAATTGTGTCTTCCTCAGCGAACCATCTCTCGAGTGAGGCCTACTCACTTGGTGAAGCTCTTTTATGCACGATGCTGATGGATGAGAGTCGTGATTGCCCGGTGAGAGTAACTTGTTTTTCCCGGGCAATCAATCCTGCAGAACTTGGTATCATTATCAGCTAGCAAAGAGCAAAGGTTTTGAAATATCGTTATTGCTTGATGCTTATTTCTTGACATCGTTACGAAGGAGAACGGTGGGCTATCGGCTCGGATCGTCGGCTCTGATGATGAAAAGACGTCGAAGCGTTAGCCGAACAAAACTGTTAATCAACCTCTTCTAAGCTTATCAAAGAAAGAAAGCATTGACAATATTTTACTTTGTCTTGTTAAACCACTATTTTTCCCACAGATAGGCTAAACATTTTTTACAAGGTTTTAGCAATTAGGTAAAAATGCAGCTTAAGACGATTAATGACAATGAAGTTTGATGTTGAGCGTGTGGGAAGGCTCTGACGGTCGGAACAGCAAGTGATCAGAGCATGCTAACGTTCTGATTTATTTCTCAGCACAGTCGGCTTGGGTGACATCGTGTTCTTGAATCCAGACATGATGATCTTCAACTTTCTTCTGATTCTCATCGGTTTGGCGCTGTTATCGATGTGTTTCAATTTGATCCAAGTGGGTGGTGTTTTGTTTAAAAAAAACAACTCTATGCTGATTTTTATTTGCAGCGTATTTGAATATCGAGAGATAAAATTTCGGAAAGCCTTCTGTAATACCATCGATCAAAAAAATCTGGAAAATTTGTTTATCAGCATCAAACGGAGATCGCCATATCAGTTTAAAAGAAATCAAATTCTCACATAAAGCAAAGAAAATAGCGGGATTGCGAAATAAAAATCCTTACTTTTTAAAGGAAATATTAGGAAGACATTCGAACTATAAAGACTTCGTAGAAAATATTTCTTTTTTTAGTAAACATACGAAAAACTTGCTCATAGTAGTCGAAACAAATCTATGTCCTTGTTGAAGTTTTCAATTTTCTCTACAGACTCGATAGAGATCTGAAGGTTAAAAAGGGATAAAGCTCTTGACGTGGATCAATCCCTGAGAAATGCTCCGTATATTCAGCATTAAGCATCGTTTAGAGGTGATTGAGTGCATATATGGCCTTTACAATGACTCATCACGGTGGCCTACCGATAAACCGCACCAGTTCTGCTATCCTTCCAGACAAATCCGGTACCAGTTTGCCCATCCGGCAAGAATGGAAGGCTTGGTGAGCGTGGGCGCATTACCGATCCCATGTGTATTGCAGAGCCCCTTTAACCACAGCAATGCGCATGCCTCTCGAGATGTTTCCGAGATATCACCTGTTTCACCTGTGGTTCCGTAGATCGTCGAGTGACTCGAGCGGCCGCCAGCAAATCCTCCACTTTTCCATGTCGCGTGCAAGAGTAGCTTAGTGGGTACTGCTCCCTTTAGAGACTCCTTGAGCATCGCATCTTTTTTCTAGACTTTTAATAAAGAACTCTGACCATCGGGTCGGTGGTCTTCTTGCAGTGCGTTTAACATCCCGAGGAATCCAGTCACTAACGGCTCTTGTCCATCGGTTATCGTTCATACGCATTACGTGTCCGACCCACCTTATCTTCGAATGTTTGGCGTACAGAACGACATCTTTATATTTTGAACGCTGACGCAGATCGGAGTTTTCGATCCCATCCATTACTTGTGTGGAACGGGTTACTCCTAGCATCGTCCTTTCGACTGCGCGTTCAATAATGCTGAGTGATTTTTCATCCTGTTTAGGCAGCGACCAGGTTCCTGACGCATACGTTAGGTCAAAAAGTACCGTTGAGTCGAAAAGATAGGCAGGGAGTCTGGTGTTCTTTGTTCTCTTCACTACATCCTCGATGCTCTGGAGTTAAGTCGTCCATCATATTGATTTCCCGACCCAGAAAGACATAACTGAAGCATTCGGAGATGTTCGTTCTGTTGAGCGTGAGTGGGGCATACGAGGCCAACGCGTTCATCATGAACATCGTTTTTATGAGATTTAGTTGAAGACCAATCTTTCCATAGGCTTTATCAAAGTCGTCAAGCAGACGTTCCACTTGCCTAATGTTTCGTGCTATAATAACGATGTCATCAGCAACGGGAAGATGGTGTAACTGCCGACCATCGATTTTCACTCCCATTTTATCCCATTCCAATGTCCGCATGACGTTTTGGAGGGTGGCGGTAAATAATTTTGGCAAGATGGTATCGCGTTGAGTAACTCCTCTGTCGACGTCAATGTTAATATCGTTGTAGAATTATGATACCTTGGTTGTGGAATTTTTGTACGGATCACGATGAATCTTTATGTACTGAGTAGAGACTCCTTGACTATCAAGGTCTTCTACGGCTGCTTTTATCTCAACTGAATCGAAGGCCTGTAAATCGATGAAAGTAAGACAGAGCGATCTTTTGTACTCTCGCGGTGTTTCAATGAGCAGTGTTGCCGTGTGAATGTGGTCTATCGTGATGAATCCTTTTCGAAACACTGCTTGCTCACATGGCTCTCCTTGGTACAGTGTTCTGTTAATCCTCTTTAGGATGACTCGAGTTAAAAGTTTGTAGACGACAGACAGCAAGCAGATTAGGCGATAGTTGCCGANTCTCTAGCCTCTGCCGCTTCGACCATTACTGGTGCTCTTCTCATTTTAAGATCTTCTTTTATCGCTTGTCTGCATTGTTTTGCAAGTTCGGACGTTAGTTCGCGTTTGCCTGCAGCTCGTGCGATTCCACGCTGGCGTATCAGCTCGAGTGTTTCTGGAGACAGACGTCTCTTGGTGACTTTCGTACTCTCAGCTTTCATAGCGCTAGCGTGAAAATGTTGAAGAAACCGATCGTATTCTTTGTCACTGTTATCCACAACGGCATTATCCCAACAGCCGACTAATGAATTGAATAAATCCCAGTTTGCGGTGGTTCCGCGACTTCGATTTTTGAATTTTGTGGCTTTTTCTCCTTTCCGCGAGAAATAGAATCTTGCGCAAAGGATCTGGTCTGATCCCGTGTAGAATTTTGGGACAACAGCGACATCGGTTAGGCAAAACCTTATATTTACTATGATGTGGTCTACTTCGTCAGGTACTCTCCGTTGGGAGACTCAAACGTCCAGCGCTGAGGGTGGGGCTTCTGGAATTGCGAGTTACCATGGGTTGTCTTGGTCACCATGATAAACTCAAGTAGCCGCTCACCCTGTTCGTTCCATTCTAATCCGTGGGTCCCTATATGGCCTTCTTCAGACGTTCTTCTTGGTCCAATCTTGGCGTCGAAATCTCCAATGATGACCTTGAAGAATGTATGGTCTTCTCTGTAGAACTTCTCCAAGTCCATATAGAGCGCTTCTTCTTCTTTGTCATAGTTTGATGTCGGCGCGTAAACGACGAAGATTGTCAAAGCCGGAATTGATCCACGTTTTTTTACCTCCCATATACTTTCTAGTCACTTGATTGCAGGCTTTTGGCCGAATTGACTCGTAGAATACAATTCGCATAAGCAGGAACGCACGGACACACGCATGCATGAATACGCCTTCTAAATACAAAAAGTATGTGCCAAATCAGCGCAGCAGAAGCAGGGAGTCCATCCCTTGGATCCAGCTGCGTCTCAGGGAAGCAAAGGTCGTTTTTGATCCGCGATTAACCCCCTGTGCGCCACATAGGGACGCGCAGCGTAGCTTCGCGATTAACCGTCTCGAAATCTCTCATATTAGGGAGATCCGTGGTCTCAAAATTTAGTCTCTTAAATATTTTTTCCTTAAAATTTTTTGAATTTGTTAAGGATAAGTTAACGTGTAAGCTCACAAATCAAAGAGTAACTCAAAATTCTTTCATTTAAGCTTCCTTTTTCCCCTGTTATGAGTCAAAGTCGACCACTTCGCTCGCTCATCAATCAAGAGTGACGAACAGAGTCACTTTTTTCGTATTAATACTTTTGTGTCTTTTAGAGGTTATAAGTTAAAAAAATCTGTTGATTAGACTTTATCTACTGATATATGAGTTTTGGGCTCGCATGAAGTACAAGCGGAGACATGATTACTTGAAACGATACCTATGATCTGATCCGACACAGCAGCAACTGGAAGTCGATTGCATAAATCATCATTATCATGCATCTTACCTACTTGCTTACGCATTCGGATGGCTCATCTTCACAATTTCTGCAGATCCCAGCACATCTTCTATTCGTTTCTTTGACTCGCACTAGTGGTCCGTAGTGGTGGTTTAGTTCGAGCACAGTGGCGAGTGCTGGCTTTTGTATGACGTGATCTGTAAAACAACCTCAGATGCGAGTACAGCTGTTTGACTTTTGTTAAGAACATGAAGGCCCACGTGTAGGTGGTCATCCTAAGGGACGTCTGCACACTCATTCAGTCAGCCCTACAATTCTTTTCGCACATCTGTCGTCTGTTCATCTCACTATATAACCGGCTCATCTGTGTTTCGTTACCGACGTGTTTTCTCCTTGGTCTCAAAGATAAGATATATCTTGCATTTTAGGCTTCGTGAAATATAGGGAATAGTGGACTATGTACTTGGATTTATTAATTTTTTGCAAATTGTGGAATATCAAGTTTATTTTTTTACATAACCCATCAAGTATTTTATGTGGATTGCAGCATTTCTTGCACATTATTGCCTTCCTCACGTTCGTAACTCACGAAACTCGTCTGATTTTACATGAGGGTTTAGCTGTTCTCAGAAAATTTTTGGTCTTTTTTATGTACGTCATTGAACGCTGAATGAGTCTATCATTCCTAGAATTCTGACACAGCGGTGCTAGGACATTCTCATATTAATTGGAAGGAGGGTGCTCATCTTAGGCAAGTCTTCTGTCACTTTGCTCTTAACGAATGACATCACTACCACAGCGCTACTTGCTCCATGTTAAACCTATGACAAGAACCTAATACAGACGTTGTTAAGATATATACCTAACCGTCTGGCGAAATTTCTAATCAGCTCGTTCTGACATCAAACGCTCTTGTGTTCAATTTAATCTGTTTCTGACACATCTCGAAAACTCAATGAGCCTCCTCAAGCTCTGTTTACACTTTTTCGTCCCGACTGTCCTCAGGGCGGATTACACATTTCATCGAGTAGAAAACATATAAATTGCCAGAGTTTCAGTTGTTTTTAAAAAAAGTCAGGATGTGATCTTAATGAACCCTGGATAGAATAGAACCATTTGGCTAGAATAAGACGTAGTGGAGTTTGGTACAAATAATCATTGCTTAGCAAAATAAAAGGGCGTGTTCACGATTTTTGCAAGATGCAGAGAAATTTCAATTTTTCCACATTTTTTTAACTTTTATTTGCTTTTAGCTTAGCTTTTATTTGCTTCCTTTTAAGGGGTACCGTGCTAATGCTCAAGAAGGGTGACCTACGCGATCTCAGCAACTATCGCCCAATCTGCTTGCCGTCTGTCGTCTGCAAACTTTTCACTCGAGTCTTCCTAAACAGGACAGAACACTGAACGAAGAACAGCCGTGTGAGCAAGCAGGATTTCGAAAAGGATTTAGTACGAAGGACCACATCCACAAGATAACAAGGCTCATTGAAGTATTGCGAGAGTATAAAAGACCTCTTTATAACACTTTCATCGATTTACAGAAGGCCTTTGATTCATTTGAGATGGAAGGAGTCACGGCAGTACCTTGATAGTAAAGGATTCTCTACTCAGAACATAAAGATCCTTCGTGCGTTCTACAAAAAAAATTTTACAACCAAGATATCACCTTTCTACAACGATATTATCATTGACGTCAAAAGAGAAGTTAGAGAAGGCGATACCATCTCGCCAAAATTATTTAC